GTTGGGGTCTCGGTGCCCCCCTGTGGGGGAAGGACAGGTCTCACCCTGCTGTCCTGGCTGCCAGGCATGGTGGAGATGATCCCCAACGCCGAGACCCTCCGCAAAATCCAGGTGGAGCACGGCGTGACGGGCTCCTTCAAGGACCGGCCGCTGGCAGACTGGCTGCAGAAACACAACCCTGAGGAGGATGAGTACGAGAAGGTGAGGAGGAGCCCGGCAGGGGCCCTGCTCCTCGTGTCCCCCTCCTTGGGGACAAGACACATCGCTTCCTAGCGTGGGGGCCACCAAAACCCACCTGGGGGCCACCGTGCCTTTCTCCATCACCCCCCCAGGCCGTGGAGAACTTCATCTACTCCTGCGCCGGCTGCTGCGTGGCCACCTACGTGCTGGGGATCTGCGACCGGCACAACGACAACATCATGCTCAAGACCACCGGCCACATGTTCCACATCGATTTCGGCAGGTTCCTGGGCCACGCGCAGATGTTTGGCAACATCAAGAGGTGTGGGAAGCGCCCCCCCCACCCCCCTCGCTGGGATTGCGCACGTGGGGCTGCGATGCTGCTTCGGCTGTGGGGTCCGCCCGGGTTTTGGGGGTGCAGCCCCTCTCCTCGTGCTCACTTTCTGCTCCTTTTTGCCCCGGTGCAGGGACCGGGCCCCGTTCGTCTTCACCTCGGACATGGCGTACGTCATCAACGGCGGGGACAAGCCCTCCAGCCGCTTCCACGACTTCGTCGACCTGTGCTGCCAGGCTTACAACCTGATCCGCAAGCACACCCACCTCTTCCTCAACCTGCTGGGGCTGGTGAGAGCCTGGGGGCCGCTCGCTGCCCCTCAAAACGGGGACGGGGTGGCTCGGAGGGGCCGCGTCCTCATCCCACCGCCCACCCTCACCCCCACCTCGCTGCCCAGATGCTGTCCTGCGGCATCCCCGAGCTCTCCGATCTGGAGGATCTCAAATATGTCTACGATGCCCTGAGGCCGCAGGACACCGATGCCGATGCCACCACCTACTTCACCAGGTACGGGACACGGGTGGGTGACGGGGTGGGGGGGGGGTGATGGTGAGACCCCCAGGAAGGAGGCACGGCCCCCGTGGGCTCCGTGACCCAGCCTCTCCATCCTGCTACGCGGCCTCGTTGCAGGTTGATCGAGTCCAGCCTGGGCAGCGTGGCCACCAAGCTCAACTTCTTCATCCACAACCTGGCGCAGATGAAGTTCACGGGCTCCGACGCCCGCCCCACGCTCTCCTTCGCCCCCCGCACCCACACCATCAAGACGGCCGGCCGGATCCGCGACGTCTTCCTCTGCCGCCACGAGAGGGTCTTCAACCCCAGCAAGGGCTACGTGAGTGGGGACAGCCCGAGGGGACGGGCGGAGGAGCGTTCCCCATCCCCAAGCCCCTAAATCTAGTGGGCACGGGGGGTCCCGGTGTCTCCGTCCCGCCTCACAGCCCCTTCTCCCCGCAGATTTACGTGGTGAAGGTGCAGCGGGAGAGCCCGAGCGAGGTGGTGTTCGTGCAGCGCACCTTCGAGGAGTTCCAGGAGCTGCACAACAAGCTGCGCCTCCTCTTCCCCTCCTCGCTGCTGCCCAGGTATCCCCTCAGACCCTACACCCGGGGGTGGGGGACTCCCCATGCCCCCCTTGGGGTCGCTGAGGGTCCGTGGCCGCGCGGCAGCTTCCCCAGCAGGTTCGTCATCGGCCGGTCGCGGGGAGAGGCGGTGGCCGAGCGGAGGAAGGAGGAACTCAACGGCTACATCTGGCACCTCATCCACGCCGCCCCCGAGGTGGCCGAGGTGAGGGGCTGGGGGACCCCGGGAGGTGGGGACGGGGGTGCTGGGGAGAGGAATTTGGGAGGGAAGGGGGCGAATGCGGTGCGTAAAGCATCCGTGTGCGCACCCTGGGTGCTGGGGGATGTGGTCACCGGTACCGGCCCCTCTTTGCCCCGCAGTGCGACCTCATCTACACCTTTTTCCACCCACTGCCGAGGGATGAGAAGGCAGCTGGCACCAGCCCTGCACCAAAACCAGCAGGTAGGTGGGCTGGGGTGCACCCCACACCCCCCCCCGTGTCCTTCCCGTGTCCCCCCCACGTCCCTCCCGTGTCCCTTCTCCTCTCCAGACGCCACGTGGGCTCGTCCCCTGGGGAAGGTGGGCGGCGAGGTGAAGCTCTCCATCTCCTACAAGAACAACAAGCTCTTCATCATGGTGATGCACATCCGGGGGCTGGTAGGTGCGCGGCGTCCTGGGGCAGGGTCTGTTTGCGGGGCCGGGCTCACGGCGTGCCCCGTGCTGTGCCCGGCAGCAGCCCCTCCAGGATGGCAACGACCCCGACCCCTACGTCAAGACCTACCTGCTGCCCGACCCCCAAAAAACCACCAAGAGGAAAACCAAAGTGGCCCGAAAAACCTGCAACCCCACCTACAACGAGATGGTACGGGGGACGGGGATAAGGTCTTGGGGGGGCTTTCGGGGACCGGTGGCTGAGGTTCTGCCCTGCTTTGTGTCCCCCCCCCCTCCTCCAGCTGGTCTACGACGGGGTCCCCCGGGGGGACCTGCAGCAGCGGGAGCTGCGGCTGAGCGTGCTGAGCGAGGAAGGTTTTTGGGAGAACATCCTCCTCGGGGAGGTCGGCATCCGTCTGCGGGACCTCGACCTGGCGCAGGAGAAGATGGGCTGGTTCGCCCTGGGCTCCCGCGGCCACGGCACCCTCTGAGCTCCGGGACCCGGCACCGGTGTCACCGGCACCCCCGGGGACGTGCCCGTGGGGACCGGGCGCTCGCGTGGCCGGGAGCTGCCGTAGCCGTCTTCTTTTTTAAGTTTACCTTGTGTCAAGGGAGCAACGTGGGGGGGGGTGGGCAGGGAGGAGGAGTGTCAGGGCACTTCGGGGGGGGTTATTTCTTCCTTTGGGATATCTGTATTTTAATTTTTTTAATAACGAGTAGCGCGCGGCCGGGCACCGGGGCAGAGAGGAGGAGGCAGTGGCAGCGGTGGCATCGCCAAGGTTGGACTCAGATGTCCCCCCCAGGGACATTTGTGACCCCCCCAGGGACATTTCTTACCCCCCTTATCTCCTCGAGGAGCTGCCTGCTGGCATCGGGGCCATTCCCATCCCGGGGGATTTGCTCCCAAAGGAGAGCGGTGTGCCATGGGGGGGGGGTCCCACTGGGGTGACCCCACCAGCCCCCCGGGGAGCACGGAGCCACCTCCTCAGCCCCTCGCCCGGCCCCGCAGCCCAGGACGCCTGCTCCAGGGCGTCGTGGGCTTGGTGCCTGTGGTGCTTTGTTTACAGCGAGAGCTCCGTAAACGGACGAAATGTTTCTCAGGATCGAGAATAATGAACTTACCTTTATATTAAAAGTTTTAAATACTGTATCGAGCGGGAGAGGGCGTGCGGGGGGGCCGGGGGGAGGGATATGGGGTTTGGATAAGGGCTCCTGCAGCCGGCACCTCACCATGGCCGGGACCCTCCTGGCCATGGAAAATGGTGTTAAAATGAAGGCGATGAAGCGCAGGGGGCCCGGGGGAGCCTCTCGTCCCCCTGCAGTCCTGCAGGGCTGGATGGGGACCAGGATGGGGACTGGGATGGGGACAGGGACGGGGCTGCCATCCCACCCCTCACACCATGGTGCAGGCCCAGCTCTTTCTGCCAAGCACAGAATCATTTTTATTCCCATAATTACCCCGCAGACTGACTAAGCGTGCCTGTGGCAAACCCAGCACAGAGCTATCAGTCACCAATTAACCCTAATTAAGGTGTCGGTGCCTCCCCACCTCAGCTGCTCACCGAGCAGGCCCAGACCTCGCGGCAGGCGGGGGCAGCTCCCCGCGCCCCACACCCGGCCTGGCTGCTGCTAACTGGGCCACAGGACCCCCCCGTGTCCCCATTTCCATGTCCCTGTGTCCCCAGGTCCCTGTGCTGCCATGTCAGTGTCCCTGTCGCCATGTCCTATGTGTCCCCATTGCCAGTGTCCACATCTCTGTCCCTGTCGCCATCTCTCTGTGTCCTTGTGTCCATGTCCCCGTGTTTGTGTTGCTGTGTCCCCATGTGTTTGTGTCCCCATGTCCCTGTCCTTGTGTCCCATGTCCCCAAGTCTGTGTCCCCCTGTCCCTGTAGCCTTGTCCCCATGTCTCTAGCCATGTGTCCATGTCCTGTGTCCATCTGTGTCCCCATTTTCCTGTCCCTTTGTCCTTGTGCCCCACACCCCATGTCTGTGTCCCTGTAGCTGTGCCTGTGCATCCATGTCCTGTGTCCCCCTGTGTCTGTCTGTCCCCATGTCCCTGTATCTGTGTCCCTGTGTATCCCTGTCCCCATGTCCATGTCCCCCTGTGTCTGTGTTCCCATATCCCACACCCCCATGCTCGTGTCCCCATAGCCATGTGCCTGTGTCCGTGTCTGTCCCCATATTCTTGTCCCTGTCCCCATGTCCCTGTGTTCTTGTGTCCTATGTCCCCGTGTCCATGTGTCCCTGTAGCCGTGTGTCTGTGTCCCCATATCCCCCATCCCCATGTCCATGCCCCCATAGCCATGTATCCACGTCCGTGTCTGTCCCCATGTTCTTGTCCCTGTGTCCTTGTGTCCCATGTCCCCATCTCCATGTGTCCCCATGGCCAAGTGTGTCCCATGTCCCCGGGTGTCCATGCCTGTGTCCCCATGTCCCCGTGTCCCATGTCCCCCTAGCCATGTGTCGGTGTCCCTTGTGTCCCCCCGTGTCCCCCTGTGTCCCCCCATGTCCCCCCGTGTCCCCCTGTCCCATGTCCCTGTGTCCCCCCTCAGTCCCTCCCCTCCCTGCGCTCCCCCCTCCCTCCCCCAGGGGGCGCTGTGCCTCCCCGCGGCTGACGCAATCCCCGCGCGGAGCGGGCGGGCGGTGCCTCCCCCTAACCCCTCCCACAACGGGAGGGGGCGGGACCTCGCCTCCAGCCAATCAGCTGCGGCGCCGCTCCTTGACGGACAGCTCCTGCCCTCCGCCCCCCGGCGGGGGGGGCAGCTCGGAGCCGCGCCGCTCGCGCCCCCGCCGCCATTTTGTAGCGGCCGCCGCCGCCTCCCCGGCCCCGGCCCGGCCCGGGATGGCGCCGGGCCCCAGCGGGGAGCCGCCCTCCGCCGCCCCCGGGCCGCTCTGAGGAGCCTCCCCCTTCCTCCTTCATGGAGCCGAGCGGCCGAGAACGGGGCAGCCCCATCCCGGGGCGAGCCCGAGCTTCTTCCCTGCTGGGTTTTGCTCCGTTTTGGCCCAAACTGGCGGTGCCCAGCAGCGCGGCCCCCGCCGCCCCGGGGCCGCCTCAGCCCAGCCCGTCCTTCTCGTGGCTGCGCCTCGCCTCACAGCTCCTCTCGCCGCTGCCCTCCCTCCTGCACCGCCTTCGGCCCGGCACGGCCCTCAGCAGCGCCTTGTGCCCGGCCACCGCTGCTCCTCCACCGCCGCCGGAGCCTCTCCCTTTGCTCCGCCGGGCTGAGGAGAAGGGACACGGAGGAGGTGGTGTAGGGGGGGGGGTGCGGAGCGGGGAGCTTTTTTCCTTCGTTTTGGGCTCCTCCAAGAGCCCCTGGGGCCGGCCGCTGAGCGCTGAGCCCTTGGGTGAGGCCTGGAGGGGCGGCGGGGGCTTGGGCGAGCTGGGGCTGCTCCGCTGCGAGCGCCTCGGGCTCCTCCAGCAGCGCCTCCTCGGCGTGCCCGAGCCCGACCACGGCTACCACAGCCTGGAGGAGGAGCAGCAGCAGCGGGGGGCCGCCGGGGAGCCCTGGAAAAACGAGGAGCAGCAGGCGCCCAAAGGTGCCCCCGGCCCGAAAGGGGAGCTCCAAGGGGAAGGTTTGGGCGGCGAGGAAATCCAGCCAAAGATTCGGGTTGCGGCCAGGCCGGCTTGTGCTAATAAGTTGATAGATTATATCCTCGGGGGGACCTCCAGCGGGGAGGAGAGCGCAGAGGATGATGATGAGGATGATGAGGACTGGGATGATGATGAGGAGGATGATGATGGTGATGATGGGTTTGACAGCGAAGGGCTGCTGTCGGATTCAGACGCCGGGAGCCAGAGCGGGGAAAGGTTGCACCTCTGGAAGTCCTTCTTCAGCCTGGATCCTTACAACCCGCAGAACTTCACGGCCACCATCCAGACGTCTTCCAGCAGCCCAGGGAAGGACATGCACGGCGGGTCTGATGTGGAAGAGGAGGAGGACGAGGAGGAGGAGGAGGATTCTTCATGGGCAGACTCATCTTCAGGCTCTCCTCACCTCAGTTCTGAAGAGCACGACGAGTGGGAGTGCAGCAGCGCGGATGAGGCAGAAAACTTGAAACTTTGGAACTCATTCTGTACCTCAGACGATCCTTATAATCCTTTAAATTTCAAGGCACCCTTCCAAACAGCGGAGAAGAAAGGGAAGCCTGGCTCAAAAGGAACAGAGGGGCCGAGTTTGGGCACTTCGGAGCGTAGTCACTTAACTGTCTGTCGGGTACAGCTGGAAAAACATAACTGTGGGGTCCCAGACTTGGTGCAGCATGGCATTCTTTTGGGTGAGAGATGTAGAAGTACCACGCGGAAAAAGGTATTATTTTGTTTTTGTTTGGGATCTGCTAAGTGGTATGTGGGTGGGGGAGGTGATTTGCACCAGGATTCCAGCCGCAGATGCTACCCTGTGAGCTTATGCTCTAATTATTTGACTGCAATCAGCGTGCCTCATACGTGATGGGAGGTTTTGTCATTCAGTCACACTGGGCACAGAGTTTCTTTACGCTTTATTTTTAGACTGGAAGTTAAGTTTCTTTTTAAAACGTAGTTTTCATCTGTGCGTTCTAATGTGTCTTCCATCATCAGGCGAACGGATGAGACCTGTGATCTAAGTTTTGCCCATGGAAAGCAGCCTTTTCTGTTGTGAATCACGTTGATAAAGTATTTCAGGGCTTGTGTGTGCACAGTGTAACTGAGACTGAAGTGTGGTAAGTACCTAGGAGTGTGGCAAGCCTGCTGTTTGAGTTCTAGGCAGCAAAAGTCTTTGGGAGAAGGAGAGACTCTTCAGCTGTGGGTTAGCACGTGCTGCAGTAAGCTGTTAAAACTTTCAGTAGAAGTGCTTTAATGCTCCTAATTCCATTTAAGAGTTATAATTCAGCAGTCTTTAGTTCCATGACATCCTTTTTATCGGCTTTTGAATGTCAGCTAGAGGTGCTAGCATTCAGGTGAATAAATTTGCCCTCTACAAGGTTTTGTGATGCTACAGATGGACGCAGCTGCCTTTCAGACACGAGGCGTTCCTCTGAGTCTTGCCTGACACTTCATACCTTTGTGTCAGTAACAGCCTGTGATACCAAGTCCCGGGATAATGCCCTGGTGTAACAAGACAGCAACAAAGGCAAGGTGTGTCCTGCTTTCTGTGCCGTTCTTACAGCACAAATTTTGCCTCCTCAAGAGCCTGGCTTGGACTTCACTTCATACCTGCTCTTGCTGGGGCAGCTGGCAGTGACAAACTTAGGCGGTTAACGCAGGACAAGCCACTGCTTTGCCACCTAAATGGAGAGCAGTTCTTGCAAGAGGACCTTTGTACCTGACAGCACGTGTCTGAAATGCTGTCGCACTGGTGAGCCCGGCTGTAAGTTCCTGCTGTCATGCCCTAAAATCTCGTTACGTGGCAGATGTGTACGCTTCCCAGCACACTAACAGCACTTCTTGACTGCAGTAATAATTTTTTTAGACTAATTTACTGAGTCTGTGTGATGTAGCGACACGGGGAAAGACCGGTGATCTAGATGCAATATTTACTTCAGTGCGTGTACAAAACCCAGTAATTGTGCCCAAGGGTATCTCAGACTGATGTAAAAAGGCTGAAAGGTGGAAACTCGCTAAGGGACAGGCTGATGTAACAGCGCCGGGTGCCTGAGGGCAGGTACCTTGTTAGGCCTGCCAGCAAAGGGGGGCAGAGGTCGCCCAGCAGTGACCAGTGCCTGCCCAGGAAACCTCGCAGCCCTTTGCCCCGCACAGGGCTGTTTCCTCTGTGGCATCATGCAAACAGCAGCAGCGTTTGTGTTTGTACAGCCCTAAAGCCTGGGAGTGTTCGTGTCGCTTGTGGGATGTGTTCGTACACATCAGATGTGTTCCCAGGGCACGTGGGGGCTGATGCCCACGCTTCCCAGACCACTCCAAGTAATTTGGGGTGGCTGCACTGCAGCTGGGTGACCTCTGGGGCTCGCTTTCAGCACGGTCCCTTGGGCCTTTGTGTCTTCTGGTGGGTATTCCTGTAGGACACCCCTCCTCTACCTCTCACCTTTCGTGCTTTCTGTGAGGGGTAGAAGGTGGCAGTACCACACAAAGCCATCTCCTCCTACACTTCTCATTATGCTGACACGAACGGGGTGTGAAAGTGTGGGTTTCTGTGAATAAAGTGCAGGAATAGAGCAGCAAGGGTTTGCTACCTCGACAGATTCCTTCCTGCTCTTCCTGCTGCAAATCAGAGTGTACTGCTAGAACTACAGCAGTTGCCTTGTCTTCAAGAATTGGTCCTAGCCTGAGAGTCAAGGGACTTCGACAGTTAGTTTGACCTTTGGTTTTAAGCCTTTTATATAGCTAAATAAAAAGCAACGCATAATTCTGCAGGAGTCTGAACTAGTTTCTCTTTCACTTATTTCTTGATAAGAGAAAGATTTGGATCTTTATGTAGTTATAGTAGCAATCAGCTAAGTGCTGTTGACTTCAGACCCTGACCCTGTGAGGTTTTTTCACTTTCTTAAGAATGAAGAGTGGAAAAAATTGGCCTTCAGTTTGAAGTGCCCCGACTGACTTCATTTCCTTCCGTGAGCTTACAACTGATACCAGCGCTGAGCAGATGAGTTTGTTCCAGTCACATGGAGATGAGTGTTGGTTCCTTAAATGCAGCGTAGTGAGATGCCTTATCAGGCACTCAAGTTGACTCACGATTACTCATTCCACAGAACAATGGCTCTGGCTTTTTATATGATGCACTAATCAGAAACCGGTTGGTACCATCCGCTCTGAAATGAGTGTTCTGGTACATCCTCCAGAGTAACGTGCTGAAACTGCGTCTGTGAGAGGTTAAAATGGTGCTGGGGGGCTGTTATCTCCCAGGGAGCGTTGGGTGCTCTGCTGTCAGCCCCTGATTAGGGACTGCTTTGGGTGGAGGGAGAAGTCAGCAGCTGCACGTGAGGTTGCTTTTAAACCTGAGAGGTGAAATATGCTCCTGCCTAGCTGGTGCAGGCCTAGCATGAGCTGGTAGCCCACCTGAGGGTTTGCTGCTATTTCAGACAACTTTTATTTTTAAATAATTGTATGCGCAGGTGAGGTTTATGCTCTTTTTGTGTATTTGGCTAACGATTTGTCTTTTCCAGGTAACCTTCCTTGAAAAAGTTACCGAGTATTACGTCAGCAGCGAGGAGGATCGGAAAGGACCCTGGGAAGAGCTTGCCCGAGATGGCTGCAGGTTCCAGAAACGTATCCAAGAAACAGAAGAAGCCATAGGGTACTGCTTCACCACAGAGCATAGACAGAGAGTCCTGAATAGACTCCGAGAAACCTGCTCCAAGGGGGTTGAGCCCTTCTAGCACCTTAAAAGGACCTGGTAGTTGGGTGTGACCCAGAGCACTCACAAAGATCTTCAAACCAAGAAGTGGCAGCTGCGTGTGTTTTTTTTTGAAATGGGGAGAAAAGTGGGATTCTAATGCTTTTTCCCAGTTTAATATTCAGCCAACGAATATACCTGTGTGTATCCCGTTTTTGACATCCAAACAGAACCTTTCGAGTATCAGCAAGGGTGAGGGCGGTATAAATGCATTCCTCTTCAGTACCATTTGAGAAACAGACTGCTTTAGGTTAAATCCATTCCAAAAATGCCTTGTCTGCCGTACGTTGAGAAGTGGTGGCTATTCAGTTGGAATTTTGCACTTTGAAAAAGCAAACATATTTTGAAGGAAATATTTATGGAGCTCAGAACCTAGCTATTGCAGTTTTGATTTAAAGTTTCTAAAGGCATGTGCTATTTGTTTGTGGTTCTCCTTTTTCTCTAACCTACACAAAAGTCTCCGATTTTGTTAGCTCATGTTAACTTTACTGCGTGAAGCAGAGGCTTTTTTTTTGCTTCCTTTTTAAGGTCCCAGTTTTGTGTGTAGTCTAATTGTTTGAGTGTTGATGTAACGCTTTCACGTCTAAATATTTCAGTCTAGCACACTGGGGGATTCAGGGGAACTCTGGTGCACTCTAAGCCCTTTGGTTTGTCTTTATTTAATTAATACCTTTGCCCAGTACTGTTCCAAAGGGTGTTGGCTGCTTGTGCACCAAGCTGCTTTGCTTTCAGGGCAGTGAAAGGCCTCGTCCTGATCAATAATTGAAGCTTCAAGGTACATATCAAAGCTGTGGCTGATGGTCAGAATTGATAGCTGCACGTGTGGAAGCAGGCCCTAGGTCTTTAGGTAATCTCAGAGCAACTTCACCCTAATTGCTTCTGCTTCCTGATTGAAGTGGAGTGTGCTTTGTATTTCTTTTATCGGTGCGTGTAAGGAGAATTATCTTTCTGGAAATCTGAGACTACAGAGTGCTGTGTTCTTTACCAGAAGCCAGTATTAATACCTCTCTGCGTCCGCACTTTTGTTCGTTGGGTACCAAAATAACATTTCACGTGTGGCATCTGAAAGTTGAGGTCCTTGGTGGAAGGAAAACACTCCTTATTTGTGTGCGTAACTTAAAATGTTTAATTGTTTCAGTCAAAATAAAAGAGCAGCACAGTTCGGATGTGCATGTGGACCTGGAAGATGATGTATGGCTGTAACCCAAGCAGGAATGAGGTCATGCAATGGAATAAATACCAGTCAGATCTAAAGAATTTGTATCTGTTTGCAAAAAATGGTGTGGGGAAATGATTTGCTATTTTGTTCATTCAGCTGTCTAGGAGTGCCTCCGTTTTTGTAAGGAAGAGACCTAGAAACACTTGAGATTTGTTGTCTCATTACTCAAATTTGAATTCAAAAGGAGTTATGGATACGTGGAGAAAAGAGCTTCACAGAGCTTTACAGAATTTTTTGCTTCATCTTGCCGTGCTTCTGGCGATTTTAATTGTCTTAAATTTCAGAGCTGTGGGGTTTACTCTTTATGGAAAAAGTTTATTCTTTGGGTTTAAAAATTACCTTTCTCTGCCACGTGCTAGAAGTGTTAATTATGAAATTATGAGAGTTGTTATGAAATTAAGAGAGTTAACTATGATATATAGTAGAGTTGTCACGTGAAATACACATGAAACTTGGGCAGCCTTATGGATTGACTAATTGAAAGCTGTGCAACAATGTTATTTTAATCCCTGCGGAATAAAAAAACCAACACATTCTTTTCTAAAAAAAGATTATTTTAGTTGTGAAATCGTAAATCATGCCCTTGAATCTTATGGATTAGCTTTCAGTTTTTAGGAGTTGATTTTCCTGTATCGTATTTGATAACAGGTGTTCTGCTGTTTTGTTTAGGGAAAAGCACGCGGGATGATTAATGTGTTAGAATTGGAGAAAACTTGTTGACATATGGTCCTAGTGTGACTGATAAGGAAAAATGCTGTTCATTGCTCCTGGTAAAATATACGAGAGCTTTTTTCCATGACACTCCTAGTTTATTTGGTCTTGTAAAGCTTGCTGCTGCTTCAATTACTCTGGCTAACTTGGTGTAGGGGTGCTCATAAAAACCTCCAGGGTGATGTGAACTAACACCTGCAAACACCGAGCAACTTTGTGCAGGAGGCTTGGGAAAGGCTACAGCTGGAAATGAACAGAACTGACAAATTATCTACAAACTAGGCTGAAAACTGTTCCTTCCAAAAGTCCTGATATCTGAGATTATTTTTTTCAACCTGCAGTGTATGAAGCACTGTGTTCTGGTTCTCAGAGAAACGTGCCTGCTCGGGTAAGTTTTTTTGTTTGTTTTTTTTTTTCCCTCCTCTCAAACCTCATACTTTCAGAGTATCCAGTGGTGGTAGGAAGTTATTCTAACACTAAATTCACGAGTAAGCTCATTATTTTTTGTCACCATCTTCCCTATAACATACTTCAAAGGTGTCTTACAGGATGTGTACATGTGCGTTTGGAGTGAAACATAAAAAAATAATACTTGTTGAACTTTAAATCAAAACTGTAATTATCAGATTTTATTTTTGTATAATTTAGAGAAAGTTAGAAAACCTTCAGCATTGGCTTTATACAGATTTTAATTGATTTGTGTCGAGTTTGTTGGGTTTTTTATATCTAAAGTTATATTTCTGTACATAACAAAACTATTCAGAACTAATCTGTAAATTGTAATAAAGATATTTGCAAGATAACGCTGCGCTGTGCTTTTATTTGAAGGAGCTGATGGGAGATGTCGGTGAAACTGTGCCAAAGCCCAACTCGTGCCTGTCTATTTCGCTTTGAGAACGTTAAATGCTTCATCAGAATTGGTGTTACAGAGGTGGTGGTAATTTGGGAGCAGGCTGTAAGGTCTGAACCAGTAACTGCATGAGTGTAAGGGCTCCTGTACTGCTGGAGCTTCTAAACTGACCCAAAATGTGCAATTCCTCGTGATTCTCGTTGGGTCTTGGCTTGGTGTAAGCGGGGATGGTAACGTTTTATTGCTCCAATTGACAACAAATACCAGAGATTTGCTTTCCTTACTGGTTAGCACAGCTGTGCAACCATGATTACTGCATGGTTTTGAAGGTTTTTCCTTTTTTTTTTCCTTTTTTTTTTTTTTTTTTTCCTGAATCACTTCCAAGTTTCTGCCCTGAAATAAATCCGAGGTGTCACCTTGTGAGTAGAAGTGACCTGAGGGTGCCGAACACCTGATCCTTCTTTAATTAGAAGAGCCCAAACACGTCTGTGTTTTGCTGCCTGGTGTTGGACGTCCGCACAGTGAATCATTTACTCTTTTGTGTTGCAATGAACCGAGAATAAAACGTTTTTGAGGAGCTCAGGATAGGTGAGAGCACAGGAAGGTGGCATTACCTGCCATAGCTGCCTTTAAAGAAGGACCTCGCTTCGTGTAAACCAGGATCTGTCACTCCATGCTTTTAGGCCAGGGAATTGGGTGGGATAAGTGGGCATTTTCACCACGAGAAAGAAAACTTCCTGGGACGTGAGGCTGGCCAGGCTGGGTGGGAGGATTTTGGCCGGAGCCGCTGCTGATGAACATCCTCCTGGTGACGTCCTGGTGGCTGCGCTCCTCACGGCATGGGAATGTCTGGAATGAGTTGAAGGGCCTGGGGTTGGGCACACCTCTTTAGAGCAGGGTTTTAGGGTGAGAACTCCCAACTTGCTGCCTGCTTCGTTTATGCCTTGAGGAAAAGTGCTGCTTAGAGCTACTTCTGGAATAACACGAGAGGTGTTATGGGTTCTGTCTTGTAGCACAAGCCATCCTTCACCATACTGCATCCTTTGCAGGCACCTCTAGAATCACCCCAGCCCTGTATTTATTTCTGGAACAGCATCAGGGTACAAAACTGCTGAGCTAAACAAGGAAAAACATTTCGGGAACTGCACGGAGTCCTCAGGAATCCCACACTCGCTCGTTGAATATAATGAGCAAACCTACGTAATTACTGGGAGCTACAGCAGTTTGCTAAAGTCGCATTCACCTGTTCTGCTGGCTCTAAAATCTGCCTTAAATGAGCATTGTAATTTCCTTTTATTCAGCCTGATGGCTTAAAGAAATGCAGTTAGCGTGCTAAATGAAGGCTTCCGTGGATCTGGCAGTGCATCAAGATGCCATCTGGAACGCAGAAATCCTGCTGGGGTTTCTTTATCAGCGCTGAAGTCTGCAGTTGGAGTTTAGCTGACAATTTATCTGCGTTAGAGTGGAGCTGCTCCTGCTCTGGGAGCTGGATCTTCTCCGTGGGACTTGAGAACTTGTTTGTCAGCAAAGCACGCGGGGAGTAAATAAGCTGCTATTTTGGTAGTCGGCAGTGACTGCATCCACCGAAATGTCATTTGCAAATTAATACAGCTGCAGAGCTGGTTGGGTCCCACAAAAGCAGGTTTCTTCCGAAACTTAGAGGCAGGATGCCGACCGCAGAGGGGTTGTGAATCACGCTGTGACTGCGACGCCAGGGAAAACCCAGCGCTCCTCAGCTGCACGGCCACGAGCTGATGGACCGTGCCTCCGATACAACCCAGGGTCTGGTCTCTGTATGGTGTGGGCAAAGCGTCCTGTGAAAGATGTGCATTAATCTCGTGGGTTTGAGGTATTAGAGGCCATTAGGAGCAGGCATCCATCTGCCCCTGCTGCTCCTGCTCCAGCCTGGGAGCAATAAAACCATTTGCTGCTTTGTGTCGCCCTTCCAGCTGTACGAGCACATCGCACACGCGCTGCTTTCCCTGCCTGCTCGCAGGGTGGCACGCGGCGCTCTGCTAGATGTTGGACACGTCTTCCATTTTTCTCCTTTCGAGCGGTAGGTGCTGCTTTTAGCAAAAGGAAAAAAAAAAAAACAAAACACAAACCGATGTAGAAATGTGCTGCTTGGTGTAGGCAGCTCTGCTCTGCCAGGCTGGATGGGAAGCTTTGGGGTGAGAAAGAATAAGAAAGGAGGTCTTGATCAGCACAGCTTCCTGCTTCAAGATGCAAACTTGGTTTTGTGCTGGCTCCCCAGCTCTAAAACAAAGCTGTTGAGGACCAGTTCCTGCTGTTTTGCAGTCTGAACAGCTCCGGGTGGCACTATTTTAAGCTGAATCCCAAAGCCTGCCTTCAGAGAAGAGAAAAATAGCCGATGCATACACAGCAGCAGCAGGAGGAAAACAGGACTTTGATGCTCCGTGCGTCTGGGGAGGTTTGTGGAATAGGATGAGCGTGTTTAAAATCACCCCAGCCCAGCTGCTCCCACCCCACCGGCTGTGGGGTGGCCCCGCGTGAGCTTGTCTGCACCCTGCGGGCAGTGCTGGCCAGCTTGCCTCCCCCTGGCACCTCCTCGGGCAGAAACCAGCTCCAGCCTCGAAGCTTTTTGCATGCAGGGAGCAGCCTTCGGCCGAGAGCAGCTGGGACCAGGTCCCAGGAAGGGACAAAGCCGCAGCGGGGGCTCAGCAGGGCTGCGTTCAGCACCTTTCCCCCTCCCTGGGCACGCATCAGGCTGCTTGTTTTAAGCTCGCTGCTTTGGGTTGTGTTTTAGCCAAGATAATTTAGACCAGATCTGAGGTTGAGGCTTCTGGCGAGGGGGAAGCTCGAGCAGATTAAAGAGGTTTCACTTTCAGAGCTGGGGGTGTTTCGCTGGCCCCTTTCCATGCCTCCTCCAGCGCAGGCTGGTGGGAGCTGCGGCAACAAGCCTTACACCAGCTCGGAGGGCCTGGGGTAGGTCTGGGAGCTGCTGCTTGCCGTGCCCGATGTTAAATGTTTCACTCAGAGTGGCTGTAAGAGGCTGTTAAACATCTGCTTGCAATCTCACCGTCTGGGCTCCGTCACGCCAGCCGGGCAGGACCCACCGAGCTGCACCCAGGAGCGCTCCCAGCAACGGCGTTTGCCGGCCCCGCTGATCAAATCAGGAGCACTTTGCAGCCAGGCAGAAGGAGCACGAAGCCATTACCCTCTCTGCTCCACTGCTCCCTCCTGCTTGAGGGGGTTCCTGGCCTCCCCACGGCTCCTGGGAGCACCAAGAGAGCAGTGCGCTCCCGGCGCCAATGGGCGCACGGCGAGGTGGCTCCGGTGAGATGGTGCCCGTGTCCTCAGCCTGGCTCTGCAGGATCTTGGAGCAATTAGCTGAGCGCCGTGTAATGAGGCGCTGGGAGAGGGCAGATGAGGATCCAGGGGATGAGCTGCAGCAGTTCCTTGGCCAAGGCTGTGTTGTGGGTGAGCTGGGGAGGGAGCAGCGCTCGCAGCTCCGGCAGCGCTGCCCTGCGCTGCTGCGGCTGCGTTTCTGGAAGGAGCTGGAGAAAAACTCCTGTCCAGGAGGTGGTGCCAGAACCGTACCGCAGCACCCGCAGCCCCGGCACGCCGCCCTCGCCTCTCACCCACCGCCTCACCTCTCGGCAGGGCAGGGCGCGAAGGTGAGCGTGGTGCCACAAGCCACCGGTGCCACCAGCCCTTCCTGAGCCAGCCCTTTCTTCGCAGAACCGCCCGGCTTCGCGGCATTCCTCGCCTCTGACTTGCGAGGGCTCCACGCAGGAAACTTCCCCAGCCTTCATTTATCTTCCCCCACGAGGGCAAGTCGCCCTCAGCGAGCGTGGGGCTGGGTGTCAGACCGCAGCTCACGCCAGGCGGCCTCTGAAGCAACAATTAAGCCCCGGCGGTGCCGGTGTCACCTCATTGCTCACCCAGCACGGCCCTTTTCCGCGTGCTTTGCTTCCCTTTTGCTTTTGTTCTCCCCGTCATCCCTGCCACCGGGGCTTGAAGAGAAGGCTCCGTGCCCGGCACGTAGCAGGAGGTGTCCGCCGGTGGCTGCTCCCCAGGGATGGGCAAGCGAGGTCCTTCCACCCAAAGCAGCATCACCCCAAAGCTCACCCAGAGCTCCTGGGCTTTTCAGGAGCCGTCTCCTGCAGAGGACTGATGCTGCAGCAAGGAAATCCGCAGGGCTCTCGTCCCCATCTCCTCCATAGGCCTGGTCCCGGTGCAAATCCCTTTGGGCACTGGTGTGCGGGGCTACGGAGGTGGTGAATGTGGGATTTGGCTCTTGGGATGGTCCCATAGGAGACTGGGAATCCCCTGCTGAAGGATGGATGTGGTGCATGGGGCAGAGGTGGCGGTGCCTGGCTCTGGGGGGGACCCCAGGACCACCTGTGGAAGCGTAAGAAATGAGCATTTTCCCCCCAAAAAAACTCGGTGTGCGTCTGCTTGCTCCTAACCCGTGCGGTAACGAACGAGGCGCTTTTAAAAGGGTTTAAAACCAAATGAAAACAACAAGCCCTGCTGGTATTTCCCCTTTGAATTTCCATTGGATTAAGTTATAAAGAAATGGGGAAAAGTTCTCCTGTGGAAAACAATAAAAGCTGATTTATTTACCTGGCAGAACAGAGCCGGGAGCTGCTCGGGATTCTTGGCTGCAGGTCCGGCACAGCCCTCCAGCAGCCTCACGGCGCTCACCCCTGGACTCGAGCAGCTCCTGCTTGCTTCTAGCTTCTGATTTCCTACAGCAGTCCTGCTCAACTGCCCCAAATGACCCCAAAACAAACAAGGGGGATGCTGGTGGTACCCGTGGCCAGGGAAACGCATCCCTCCCTGGGGGTTATGGAGAAGGAAGGAAATCTTCGAGGATCTTTGAGCTTATCTAGCAGGGACCCTGGCCACGCGTCCCCTCGAGGGTGATTGCAGTAATCGGGGGGGATTTCACCCTGGGCTTGGTGTTAAGCACCGTGTCCTGAAAGCTCTTAGCCCCATAGCTGCAGAGCAAGCCTCTTTGGGTCTGCTGCTCCTCACGTTTCTGTTCCGTGACTGTAGAAACGAGCGGGCACCGGCTTTGGAAGCTTTCGGTCCTGAAACTGCGATGGAGAGAGCTGCGGGCAGCCTCGGTGGCTCTGCAGCAGTGGCAGGAGCCGTGCGCGGAGCTGCTGGGGGCTGCAGGCCACTGCAACGACTGCACCAAGGACTCATCCCCTGTGAGTCAGGTCGGAGGCTCCTCTGAGTCAACGAAACTGCGGCAAGTGGCCGCTGGGACGGGCTGGCTGGGAGGGAGCTTTGCTTTCAGGTGCGCCCTCGTCATCCCCAGAGCCTCCCCGAGAGCCGGGATGGGATTAGGGCAGTTTAGGGACCGACCTCTCGCCGCGTTTTGACCTCGTGGAACTGTTCCTGCCTTGAGCCAGCTTGGGCCATCTCCCAGCACAGGGCTGACGATGGCTTCCCCTATAATAAAAAACAAAACAAAAACAAAAACCACGATGGGAACAGTTTAACAATTTCACGTGGCAGCGTGGTCCCAGGGGCCGGGTTGCCCTGCGGTGACGCAGCAGCGCACGGAGCCAGCACAAAACCCCAGCTGCATTTTGGCTCCCCCGGGGCCACGTTTTGACCCCCCCTGATCTCAGGGCACATCGTGGTGCCAGAGCCCGTGGAGCTGCCCCGTGGGCTCTGCGGGGCCGGGGCGGCCGATGGGGCCGTGATAAGGGCGGTGACGCCCCGACCTCGCTCGCGTGGCCGTGAGCTACGGGGGCGGGCGCGGCGCAACGCTATCCCTGGGGCTCAGCCCCAATTTGGGCAAGAAGCCCAATCCTGCAACAAGGCAGCGTGTAGCTGTCGTGGTGCTTTGCACCCCGGTGTTTCTCCCGTGAAATGGAGCCTGTCCCGGTGAAACGATGCTGGGGACGGGGGCAGCATCCCCTGCCACGCCGTGGTCCCGTTGCTCTCCTGGTGGGCTCGCCGGGCGCGTTTTTCTCACCCAGGTATTCAAAGAATTATAAGAAAATCCTTCCCAAGGCTTTGGGTGATGTGGTTTCCCAAATCCTGGCAGGGAACAGCTCTGAAGTGAGGGCTGTGCTTAAGCTCAGCAGAAGAATCCCCTTCGGGGACCGGCTCCTGCCTTTTCCTCTCCGTCCCCTCCCGAGCGAGCGCCTTCCTTCCTGCTTGTGCCATGAGAAACTCGGACAAGGCGCCGCTGAGGCACGAGGGCAATTGCCTCCTTCACAGTCACCCAGCCCAGGTGCCTCCCAGACCCCACCTTTCCCCTTGAAAGACGTTTAATTGATGGCTAAGAACAGGCAGAGAGAAAATACCCACTGGGCAGCTCCGCGAGCGCTGCAGATAATCATCAGGGTGCCCTACATACTGCCTCTGCTTGGCTGCGAGATCAGACGGCGAGAAGAATTTGACATTGTTTAAGACGAACAGGAGAGGGAAGGAACAACTCCATAATTACTCACCCGGAGTTAATTGACGGTAATTACACTGAGTAGGCAGGGGAGGAAGCTGCGATGGGCTAGCCCCGCAGAGGCAGCCGGGGAGCCTGCGCCGCTGCCGCCCAGGTGCCCTCTGAACCCCGGCTGGCGGGCGAGGTGGCAGCCTGGCTCCGAGGGGGTTAACTTGATGGGTTTGGTTTTCTTTCCCTTTTTTTTTTTTTTTTTTTTTCCTTCTTCCCTCCTTGGTTATTTGCAGCAAACAGAGCCCGGGGTGGAAGGGTTGAGCTGAGCAAGTGTTTGCTGGAGGAGGAAGAGGAGGAGGGTTGGGGACCGGGAGCTGGCTCGCACTCCCCGAGCCGCACGGGGAGCAGAGGACGGGGCTGCCCCACGCCTGCTGGCCCCCATGGCCGATGACATCGAGTGGCTGGACCTGCCGGGAAGGTGGACCTACGGCGTCTGCGGGGACGGACGCATCTTCTTCATCAAGTATGGGACTGCCTGGTGGGACTGGGGGTGCCACGGGGACGGGGCTGGGGGCGGGGGCTGCGCTCCCAGCTTGGCACGTGGTTTTGGGGGGCTGCTGGGGCCGGGGGGCTTAATCCAGGCTGGGAGCAAGGGGTCCTGCCCGCTGCAAGGCTCGGTGTCCAGGTGCTTTCCTGTCACTCATGGTCATCTCGGCTTGCTCCCCGTTCCTCCCTTCTCGGGGCTCGCTGCTGTCCCGGCTGCTGCCTGCTGGATGCCGCTCCCCAATTTCCCTCAAATCTGCTCCTTTCCTTTCCTTTGGCTGGATAAAAAAAAAAGTTTCTCGTGTTGCCAAGCCCTCGCCCTGCCAAAGGGCCTTCCCCGAGCCCCCCGGGGTGCTCACTGCCCCCCACTTTGTCTTTCACAGCGACGAGACCAAGTCCACGAGCTGGGTGCACCCCAGCACAGGTTACTCCGTCCAGAGCGGGCACTTCTCCTGCGCCGGTAAGGGACGGGCCCCGGCTCCCCCTGCGTGCCCCCCACCCTCTCTTGGGACGTGTGATGAAAAGCTCCAGAAATGCCTTGGAGCCCCCCGAGCAGCTGGGAGAGCAGGGCTGGGTTTTGGGGGGAGACTTCAAACGAGGCGCGAGGCGATGCCGCATCTCTTGGGGATGCACGAGCCCCCGTAACCCCTGCAGCGGGGTTGGAGAGGTGTTCCCGGGGGGGGGTCTTAAGAGCCCCCTTCTGCAGCAGGACTCCTTGAAGCCTCCAAAACCCAGCGCTGGTGGGAGAGGGACCCAACGCTCCCCTCTTGTGCAGGTGGGGGCGAGGAAGGCTGACCACCGCTTCTGCTGTGTCCTTCCAGGGCTGCCCCGAGGCTGGGAGGTGGACACCACGCTGCACGGGGGCTTCTACTTCATCAAGTAAGTGACAGGGGACGGGGGCGGCCACTCCGTCCCCTCTGTGCTGTTTTTACAGCCTCGGAGGATGCTGCTTCCCGAGCAGGGTGCGGGGTTTGTCCTGCAGCCTTTGGGGTGCTGCTCCTCCTGCTCTTCCCTAGACCATAGCAAAACGCCTGCCGGGCTGGTTTAATCCACGTGGAGAGCCAAGGCGTGTGTGGTTTGGGAAGGTTTGGGGATATCTCTTGCTGGAGGATGGGGCTGGGGTCTGTGCTGCTGCGTGAGATGGGAGATGGGGGGGTGCCTGTGGCAGCCCCACGGGTACCAGCAGCTGGAAAAAAAAAAAAAAAATCAAAGTTGTGGCTGATGAGAGCCTTTTCTTCTCGACTCCCTGGCTCGGAGGTGGCGGTGCTGCAGCGCCCGTACCCCCCTGCAGACGGAGGTTTCCCCCCTGCCAAATTCAGACGTCTCCCCCGGCGCTCCCCTCGCCGCAGCAGCCACCCGAGGGCTCTGGGCGCAGGCAGCAGGACCTGCTCCGTGCGCACCTCGCTCCCATTTGGGATGCAAATGTCACTGCTGAGAGCTTGGGGAGCTTGGGGACACGGGGGCGAGCCAGGCGGCCCCCCCTGCCCTGCGCCGGGCACTGCCTCTGCCCTCGGGGAGGGTCCCCAAAGAACAAGGGGGGGTCCTCCAGGATGCTGCCCCTGCAGAGGGGGGCTCGGTGGTCCCGAGCTGGCTGTGCTCAATGGGGATGAGCTTTAGGATCTGGCCCAGAGCCTGCTCCACGCTGCCCACGTGCTGCTCGTGGCCCTGCCTCGCCACGCACGGCGGCACCGTGGCTGCAGGAGGGGGGCTGCGACCCCAAAGGCTCCCCCCTGGCCGGGCTGTGCCGGCTCCTGCCCTTTGTAGGAGCACCCAGGAGCCTACAAAGGGCCCTTTTGCACCCCGGCTCGCTGCCCGGATGGTACCAGGAGGAGAAAAGGCCCCGCTGTGTCTGCGCCCTTGGGCTGCGATGGGGCTGGGGACACGCAGAGCAGCGCCGGGCGGCTGCGGTCCCTGCGCAGGGGGGGGGGTAGGGGACAAACAGCACGGGGTGCGGTGCCCTGCACCAGGATGGGGGGGTCCCACAAAAGCCCCCTTTGCTCCCGTGCTTCTTGGGCTGTTTGGTGGCTCCTGGGGATGGCTGCAGGCTGCGGGACCCCCGCAGTGAGCTGGCGGTGCCTGGGGACAGGGATCGGGGAGGAGGAGGGGGGGGACTCACAGGCACGGAGTGGGGTCTCTGAGCTTGGGAGGGGGAGATGCAGGATGCAGGGCAGCCAGTGAACCCCCGCCCCCCCAGCCCCTAATTCCTTGTGGCTAATGGTGGGATTATAGGATTGAAGGCAGCTGTGGGGTTTTCCTTTCTGGAGGGCCCCCTCCCTCCCCACGCCAGCCCAGCTGGAGGCAGGGGCTGAGCGGGGCTTGGGGCTGTGGGGTGGGGTGGGGGGGTTTGTGCCCCATGGGACCCCCCCCGTGGCTGCTCTTTTGCTGCCCATCCTCTGGGCACCCCCTCCCTAGGGTGCTCTCCACGGGGTGCACAACCTGGGGGTGCTCCTGGCCCCCCCCTACAGCCACTCCCATGGGCTGGGGGGGGGTGTGTGTGTGCAGACGGGGCCCCCACCCCCCAAGAGATGCAGGATTGGGGGGGGGGAGCGTGCCCCCCCCAAATCAGGGATGCAGAGGGGACACAGTCCCAGCTGCCCCCCCCCCACATGGGGAGCCAGGTCCTGCACCGTGGGGGGGTCCCGGTGTGCCCCCCCCCCCTTCACCAAGTGACACAGGGATAGAGGTGGGGGTACAGCAGGGCCCAGACCCCCTCGGGGTGATGCCTCGGTGCAGTGCAGCCCCCCTGGGTGATGCTGGGGGGAGCGGTGCGGTGGCTGCGGGGGGGTCCGAGCGAGTCCCCCCCGCTTTGCTGGGTGCCAGCCCGGCATCACGTGCTGCTCGGCGGCCCCCGAGCATGCCCAGCTCCTGCTCTCGCTCCCGCTCGGGCTCGGGCTGCAGCTCCAGCTCGGGCTGGGGCTGAGCGGGAGGATGCTGAGCCCCCCCTAGGCACCAGCAGAGGGGGGGGGTCCCGGCCGCTGCCCACCCCTGCACGGTGAGTGCCCCCGGCGCGGAGCCCTTCCTCCCCCTCCTCTTCCTCCCCAGGGGGGTCTGGGGGGATGGGGGGTGGCTGAGCATCCTTCTTCCCCCATCGGGATGTGTGCTGTGGGGTGGGGGGGGTCTCTATAAGGGGATCTGTGCTGTGGCTGGGGGGGTCGCAGCCCCCCAGGGGTGCCCCGATGGTGCCCCACGGCCAGCGCCGGGTGCGCCAGAGGGGCTGGCACCTCCTGGCTCTTGGAGGGGCTGGGGGCCAGGGTCCCCGTGCATGGTTTCAACCCGCCCCCCCCCCGGGATTTTGGTGAGACGCAGGGACCCCCCCTCAGCCCTCCCTGTGGCGCGTTTGCCTGCTGTGTGCCTGCTGTGTTCCCAGCCCCCCCGCGGCTGCACCTTGGGGTCCCCCAGGCTTGGACCCGGCGCAGGGGCTTTGGGAGAGACGTGGGATTTTTTTTGGGGGGGGTCTCCGCACCCGAAAGCCCCATTGCTCACGGCTGGGGGCCCAGATTGCTGCGTTCCCCCCCCAGCCCTGGGTGCTGGGGTCGGTCCCACGGCTCAGCCGGGTGCTTTGCCATGGTGGCAGCCAGGATGGGATAAAATTTATGGGGCCGGAGCCATCTCCTGCTGCTCCCCGGGCACCCGAGAGCTTCCCTGGGCTTCTCAGCTCCCTTTTGCTGCCCCCTTGTTAGCAGGAGCCCCCCCGGCGGTGGGCAGCAGGCGGGTGCCGTGCTTGCTGGGTGCCCCCCGGTGCATTTTAGGTGTCTGGCGGTGCCGGGGACGGCGTGGGTGCCCCAGCCAGTCAGTCGCAGCTTTGTGGTGCTGCTGCCAGGTCTGGAGGAGCTCGCCCTGCTCCTGGCATCACATGATGGTGCGTCTGAAATGAGCCACGAGTCTGCTAAACCCCGCTCTGCTCGCCTCTGAGCCCAGCGCCGCTGGAAGGGCTGGGGCTGGCCACCCCCTGGCACCCCCCCCAAACCTCGCCAGGGTGCTAAGGGGAGGCGCAGCCCCTCCGGCACCTCTTTGCAGGGTCCCCGTCCCCCTCTGAGGCTGTGCCATGGGGCAGGAGGCTCCTGTGCGTGGTTTGATCCGTGCCACGGTGGGGATGGGGTGTGTGGACCCCCCCCGGGGCAGGCACCGAGGGCAGCGGGGCGGTGGCACTCGCTCGGGGTGAGGTCCCTCCAGCAGGGGGGCTGTTGGTAGGCGCTGCGTGCTGCTCTGCAGCATCCATCCCTCGGTTTCTCCCAATTCCTCGTGCGCAGGGGGTTGGCATCGCCCTTTGCATCCTGCTTTGCATCCCGGGGCCACGTGCAGGGCAGCAGCTGGGCGCCCCGCTCTCCAGGAGGGATTGCTCCTGCTCCCCTCCCAGCCGCACCAGTCCCTCCTTTGCTCTGTTCTGGGAGGACTGGGGCTTCCCCACCAGGCCCCGATGGAGCCCCCGGCCCTCCTCTGCAGCCCCCCGGTGCTGCCCCCAGCCCCTCAGGGAGCCAGAGCTGGGATTAGGACTCCTGGAGAAGGGGCAGGCGAGGCATTAACATTCCTGAGCGTCTGCTAAAAATCACAGGGCGAGCGCAAAGCCCTGCGGCCGGGGCTCTGCCTGCTTTGTCCAGTGTAGGGTAGGGCGAGCAGGGTGCCTCCATCCCATGCCGGGGAGGAGCTGGCCGTCCCGCTGCACCAGCTCCAGGCACCCCATCGCTGCTCCCTGCATCCCCTCGGGGCTGGGGTCGGGGGTCCCAGCCCTCCCCGGGCGAAGCGAGGTGCAGCGGCACGGGGTGCTGGCGATGCAGGCGAGCCCGGTGCTGGCGCAGCTCGCCGTGTGGGCTCGGGCAGCCAGGCTGGCGCTGGCCTCGCTGGAAAACCGTGTTTTCCTGCCGAGTTCCCATAGAAACCGTCGGGAGCAGCAGCAGCAGGGCTCGGGGACCGAGGCAGAGGAGGCAGGGGCAGGCGCAGGCGGGTGGCCGAGCTCCGTGCCCGGTGCTGCAGGAGGAGGAAATTGGGCAGCCGGTGGCCGTGCCCTCCCCGGGCTGCTCCCTGCTCCTGGGGGAGATGCAGCAGCATCACCCCAGCCCTCTGCAGTGCGTGTGTGTGTGCGTGCGGGTGCGTGTGCCCCCGTGCACGCCGCTGGCCCCCCGCCAGCCCCCAGTGCAGCCAGGCCTGGCACGGGAGGGTTGGTGCAAACATCGCCCAGATGGGCAGCACGGGGCTTAATCCCTCGCCGAGGCCAGCTTAACCCTTAGCAGCCGGGCTGGGGCTTGGTTTGGGTTTGTTTTTATTTATTCCCCTTCTCCATCTGTGCCCCCAGGAAGCGGCTGGGGATCTCCCCTGCCTGTCTCTGCTCGCTGGAGGGGAAAACGCGGCTCCTCTCCGTGCCCTCTCCCGCTCCGGCATTTGTAGTAGCATCCCCCCGTCTGTTTGCCCTAGCTTGAAACACGATAATCCGCAGCAGGCAGAAATAGCACAGGGAGGAATGCGCCGGCTCCTCTTTAGCCTTGTTTTTTCCCCAGCATCTGACAGCTCCGTGGCTGCTCGGGGAAGCCCGGTGCTGGCATGGGCAGCACCGCGGTGGTTCTGGGGGTGCGCCGAGGCCCTTGCGTGAGCCAAAACTTCCTGGGGTTGGGTTGGGGTTTGGGTTATGAGAAAGGCTGGTTTTTTCTTGTTTCTTTTTCTTTTTTTTTTTTTTTTCTCTCTTTTTTTTTTCTTTTTTCTTTTTTCTCCTGGTTTTCAGTGTGGTTTTGGTTGTGTCTCAGCTTTCGCCCTGCACGGGGCGAGCAGCTGCTGGGTGAGGTCGGGTGATCGCAGCGGCCGGTTGTGGCCTTAATCTGTGAATTCAGCAAAGCTCTTTAATAAAGATTCAAAGTCACCAACTTCTCAATTAAGGGATGAGACAGCTCTTGATCCGTGTTTCTGGGTCAGCCGGAGAAAGGCCATTTAAGACCTGGCTGATGGCTCGCCTTTGATGTTTCCCAAGGAGACGGCTTTTGAATAAACACCTTGCTGGTGCAGCAGCAGGAATTCTGCGCGGCTCCCTCACCTCACCCGGAGCCCTGAGACCCATCCTGAGCCAGGGGAAAGCCTCTGCCCCCGCTGCCACACACGGTGGGGGGACACACTGTTAGGTCAGGGCACGCTGGTGGGCAGCAGGCAGAGCCCCCAGCCCCACCAGGGTGCCACCGCTCCGCGCAGCCTGCTCTGGGGCTGGGTGGGCTGCACCCCGCCAGGTCCCCCGGCTCCCCAAGGGGCTCCAGGGTGCTTCTAACCCTCTGTTTACTTCAACAGCAGCCGCTCGCATGGGTGTTAATTGCAGGAGTTGGCAAAGCACTAATTAGGGGATAATGAGACGGCTTTTGTGCGCGCCTGGCGTCCCGTCGACAGACAGCCGCCCTGCTCCAAACACGCTGCGCCGTGTCCGTGATCCCTGCTCCATGATCCCTGCTCCATGATCCCTGCTCCATGATCCCTGTTCCATGATCCCTGGGCCGTGCCCTTGATCCCTGCTCCATGTCCATGATCGCCGCTGCCTCATCTCCCCGCTGCCGTGCCCGGGGCTGTGGGTGCTGCTCCCTGCCTGCCCCGCTGCTCCATCCAGGCACAGCTCGGGGTTTTTTTTTCCATCCCTCCCCATGCCCCCGCGTTAACAGGGGTCTCAACGAAGCTGCCCCCTGCTGCTGTGTCCTTCAGGGCGGGGGGTTTCACCTCGCTGCTGCTGAACGGCTCGGATGCAGCTGGGCTGCTCTGAGCCCCCGGGTCCCGCTGGTAATTAAGTGGCCGGCAGAACCTGTGCGGCGCAGCCCTTTGTTCTCGGAGCAGGGAGGCAGGATCCGGCCAAGACAGGGCTCAGGCTGCCCCTTGCTCTGCCACCACCTCCCCTCCCCATCCTCACAGCATCCCCAGCCCCCTTATTTTGGGGAAGGAGCTCAGGGATAGGGGATGGGGGCTCGCGCAGTGATGGAGCAGAGCATCCTCCCGCACGCCTGGCCGTGCACCCGCATCCTCCCGCGGCGCGCAGCTCCGGCACCCATCTCCTGCTGCTGCCGGAGCCGTGCACGCCTGCCGAGCAGCAGAGGCTGCTGTTCCTCTCCTCCTGCCTGCAGTCGCCAGGGACTCGCAGCCGGCGTTCCCCTCCTCGCCTTCCTTACGTAAGCAGCAGCAGCAGCAGCAGCAGCAGCACGGCGGCTCGGGCAGCTCAGCACCACCGGGGCCTGGAGCCTCGCCGC